GAATTCCACAAGATCCCGATCTCTACACCACAATGTGGGGAGGCCGCATTCTTCAGCCACTTCCTTCATATTAAAAGAGGACTTCTTCCCAACATGCACTCCAGGTTACATACTCCTCTGCACTGGAAGCTCTTAATCGTCCACATGTTTTCGCTGGGAAACCAGAGAAAGTTTGTCAATATGTCTACGGCTATTGAATGTAAAGGCATTTCCAAACTACAATTCAAACTTTAAAGAAGAACATAGAAACAGAAATAAATAAAATGCTCTAATCATTAAAAAAACGTAATTATACTTAGATTATTAATGTAAAAACAATTGAAACAATCCTAAATTAAATGTCTTCCTTAATACTCAGATTTACAGTACATTAATCACTCATCTAATAAAATCACACTGCCCCCTGCTGGGTGTATAAAAGTTTCTTGCTGGTTTAAATGAATCATTAAATGCCTTTCAATTGATTGAGCTCCTATTCCACAGGAAGGCTAGCATAGTAAACCTTCTCTCATCATCACTGGCGTTAGCTGGAACCCCTCACTCTGCACCCGGGTCATGTAGCCAGTATCAGATGAGCTTTTAAATAGCGAAGTCTCCACTCTATGACCTCAGGTCCTAAGGGACGCAGCCTTGTGGCCTCAAGCCTAATGCTACCCCTCCCACCCCCCCAGAACAAGAGAATGGGACAACCCAAACGCTGATATCTCAATGATTTCACTGCGAGAGCGGTTTTTCTTAAAAGTGGCCAGGAGGGGAAGGCGTACAGGAAAGCGAATGTTTACGTGAAGCTGTTTTAATTAAATTCAGGCGGCGTTGGTATTTTCTGTGGTGGAGTCTGTGATTTTAGATGCCTACTCATTTCGTCCGCTATTTAAAACAAATAAAAATTGCACACATGACAGCAGCATATTTATATAGCTCTTTCTGCAGGAAATTTCCATCTAAAGACGTCTGCTAGAGGTCCAAATTTGCGTCCAAAACATCAAAGCCACATTCATATCAGATCAGTGAGAGGACACGGCCAGTGACTCGAAAAGCTATGACAACATTAAATACATCAATCATATAACGCTGAAAATCTGTAGAGCAACCAAACAAATTATAATGGTTGGAGCGTAACAGCCCTCAATGGCAAGTGATGAAAGCCAACATGAGATCACACTGAAATCCCATTCAAGCTGAACTTAAGGGAGAGTAAGAGAGACAGCTTCGACGAAGGGTCATTCGGAGGTCGCTAGCAAAGGACTGTTCCAAACGAAACATAAACATGCATCCTAATGGACGCTGGGCCGACATCTCCCAGCGCAGAACCTGGCCAACCTGAACTAATCTATCCCTCAGCTGTGGAGTTTAATCTAAACAAACAGATCTCAATGTTACTGCATCTGGAAGCTGTCATGTGCTTCGACATGGGAACGACTGAGGTGTGAGCGAGTGTGTGTCCGGCAACCGACTGTCATACTTCATCTGCAAACCTCCTGCACTTCTTGGAAAGGAAGAGTGGAAGTAAGCAACAAAGTTAAAAAAAAAAATAAGTGCAGAGAGGATACAGCTCTGGATTAGCAAGGTGTTTGTTTTAAGGTTCACACTCAATTGGCTGTACAGTTACAAAATATTACTGACACTCCAATAGTAGACGAGTAACCATGAAAGCTGCTCCAGAGGGATCTGACCTACAATCTGACTCATTTAAGTTGAACTGGATGAAAATTTGAGCATAATAAAGTCGATTAATAATCATTTAAAGGGCATAAAATAATAATAATAATATTAACAATTTCAAAAAAATAATTTATGATTAATAGTATTTTCGATGTTTGGGGCAACCTTTTTGTTTTATTCTGTAGCAAAAAGCAATATTAAAATTAAAGCACAATGTGTGGTATTTGAATTTGGGAGGAAAAGTTTTCAGACTTTCACCGGGGCTGATTGAGAAATACTAGCAAAAATTCACATCAGAACTATGATCTGTCAATTACTGTGACAATGGCCTGCTGTCATGATCTTTACAGCTCTATAAATAAAACTAAATGGTCAAAATGTTGTACATGAACTACATCACTATTATTTCTATTTGAAATCACTTTATGTACAACTAAACACAACGTTTAAAATCTTTTAAAATGCAAAGTATGTTATTATAAATATATATATATATATATATATATATATATATATCTTGGTACTAGTGTTTCATGTTTACAGTTTTTTTTTTTTTTTTTGGTGTTTGAGTAAACCTTTTTCTTTAATTTCCAGACTACTGATGATATTTATTCCAAATCTGAAACGAAAATGATTTTTAGCATTTTTTTATATTCAATTTAAAATGTGTCAGGTGTGTTTATATTCATTTTAGACAGCACAACACCAATGTTTTAACTTCAGAAAAGTTCAAAAATCTATATATAGTGGAATAGCCTTCACTTTCATTCACAACAATTGAAAGCATTTGTTATTCTTATTAACAAAAAGAGCGGTAAAAGCAATATTAACATTGAAGAACAATGTGTGGTATTTAAATTTTGGAAGAAATGTTATCATGAGAAAAACTAGCAAAAATTCACAAGTCTATTACTAATTACTATGACCTGTCAATTATTGTGACAATGGCCTCCTGTTGTGATCTTTATCACCCTGCAAATAGAACTAATTGGTCAAAATGTTGTAAATGAACGACATCGCTATTATTTATATTTGAAATAATTTGATCTACAACTACATGAGCAATTTTAGCAAATGTCAACCTTGCCATGAAAAAAATAATAATTTTCACCAAAATAGTGAAACCATATTTATGTTTTTTTGTGTAGGCTTGTATTTTACAGTACTGAAAAAATACTTAAAAATGTCTCTGTCAACGTTTTTAAAGAATTATATTTGATTTACAAAAGTCACAAAAGTGCCAATTTCACATCTGTCGCATCCATAACGGAGCATTTATTTCATAAATGCAAAAATGTCAAATGGAATAAACGTAATAAACATTTTTGTTTTATAGTGAGTATTGAGCATTGTGTCTTTTGGGTTGTGCAGGTTAATTCAGAGAATTTCTACAATGTATGTTGTATACTGTAAACTTTTTTAGTCACATCCATTTCCTAATGTAAAATATAAAAATTTTTACAGATGTATATTTTTTCTGCTCCCATAACTATGTGGTAAGTTGTTTTGGAAAATATAAGCAGATGTTTTAATATAATGTTAACATATACTGTCTGTGTGAGTTTATGTTTTAAGTTTTTACAGCAAAGTCACATGTATAATGCTGGAATAGCACACATACAATGATTAAAATGTAAAGCACGTTATTATAAACATCTATATCTCTCTACTAGTGTTTCATGTTTGTAAAGAGTGTTTCATGTTTACAGTTTTTCGGTTTAAAAGCACATTTTACTGACTTTAATATCAGTCCTTGATGTACATAACATACCATGTATTTAAAGTCCAAAAGCCAAAGCCAACTCAACCAATTAAAATAACTTGATATTAAAATAATGACTGTACAATCAATAATAAAGAAAGCCCTCATATCATCTCTGTTCATATCAAAGGATCTTTAAACTTCAGGAATGCAGATCAAAGCAAAAAGGAGTATTCGCCCCTCCCCCTTCAAAAAAAATCACCACCCACACTACTGCCCCAACAACTCACAATTGACTTATTCATAAAATAAACCAACTTTCTGTCAAAAGTTTCTTCAAGCCGCATATGAGCTGCAGACAGTGTCGGGTCTGAGTGCACGTTTCTGCCTGTAGTTCGCTCGGTTCCTGCTGAAACTCTGAGACAAATCTTTTTGGAAAGTTGAACGCTGTCCAAAACAGGACCACACACAGGCTCTGTGAGCAGCGCGGATCAGATTCAACTGCTGGAGGCAGACACACACACACACAAATCGCACACACTCACAAAATGGCGGCTATTCGTGTTAAAAACACTCACATTGCTGTCTAAATCAGCAATTCAGTGATGTATCGAACTTGAAAACAATCGGAAGGCGCGCGCGCGCTATATGTCCCACAAACACACGGCATTTGTGCGCGCGACTCCAATTCGAAGCGAAAAACGGTCTATTCAAGTTTAACCTGGATTTCTGCCAGACTTCTATACAATAAACAATTCCTTCATCTTACATGACAGACCCCCCACCCGCAGCTTCAGGTCTGCCTTTAGAGTACACTTGAGGGGAAAACGCATTAGAAAGACTGAGGAAAACAGCTTCTTACCTTCTACCCAGAGTTTCTCCACGTCCGTCTCCAGATTAGCTGCCCTTAAGCCAACAGCAAAAGCTCCGAATATTAAAAGGCCCACAACTAAAAACTTTCCGCAGTTCTTTTGTATGTAACAGCCAAGTTTAAACAAAAGTCTTTGAAACTTTGCTCTCAACCACAGCGGCGCTTTCCTCCCAGTCGCATTCCCCTACAAGACAAGAGAGAGCAAATATTACACTCTCATCAACTTTTTAATACGATTTTACTAAATGGCATTATTCAATATTTACTGTTTTTTTAATAGACTAAAATGCATAGTTGGTGGTGGAAATAGCATGTGGGGTGCTTTAATAACAGAATTATAAGAAATATCCCTTTAACGTAATTGTATTTTTAAAACAACTAGGTTTTATGGGTTATGTAATTACTATTCCACTCATAAGATTTTAAAAATAGCCTTGAAACATGCATACATTGTCATATGGCAAGCCATTTAAACATCTATTCCTTAATACTATATTTACATAACAAGTACTTTGTAATTACTAGTGAATAATCTAATAGTGACTGGCTAGTATCTTTTTATGTGACAGTTCCCTTGTAATAACTATTTAATATAATAATTTAGGGTCACTATTTCAATAGTATGTAACTACCCTGTTATAACCAGTGTCAGTGGTCTCCCAAAATACTCAGACATCAGTCCAACTTCAGTTTCATCTGTAACAATTCATTAGTTGCTAGTATCTACCATCCCTTACTACAGTCTATTCCATTTGCACCTGTATTATATACTTGTGTTTATTAGTCACTAGTGTACAATCAGATTCATTTATCAGTAAGATTTTAGCCAAAATACAGAGTAGTCATTCCTGTAACTAGTTTAACTGTATTTATATATATATATATATATATATATATATATATATATATATATATATATATATATATATATATATTATTATTATTATTATTATTATTTTTTTACTAGTTCAAATGACAAATGACTTATTTAAAACGAGCTGACTTAATGCAACTCTTGGAGCTTTTTTGGGACAACTTAATAGTTTTATGTTCAATCCACTTTATTTTGAATAAACAATCAAGTTAACTTAAACGAATTGTATTGGAACAACATGAAGGAATAGCGTGAAACCCTGCATTTTTTACATTGTAAGTTGTCTTATAAATGCCTGAAAAGCTGCTATGTTTACTATATGGAAACTCGTAGTTCATATTGAGCCACTGCCACCGATAATTTAAATACATATTTGTCAAAATTTTGATTGTGACTTAGCAAAGGAGTAAGAACTATGGCAAGCTGAATAAACTACTTAGGATAATCTTAGTTTTTTATTAACACTAAAATTATATATATATATATATATATATATATATATATATATATATATAAATGTATATATATATATATATATATATATATATATATATATATATATATAAAACACTGTTAAAATATTAGTCTAATATGAATCACAAAAGCAAAACACATCTCTGTTGTAACTGCTATTTGGCCAAATATTAAGTTGAGTTTTTATCCCCTGGATAACCAGTAGACCAGGATGACACATTCCGGTTCACACCTGGTGTTTTAATCTGTTTAGGCTTTTTCAATTGCTCTTGTGATATTTTGAGTTTGTGCACAAATGAAGGTTTTCTGAACTTTCAATCTAATATTACAAAAAAATATTGAACAATTTAGCAGAGAGAGGCTACCAAAAATGATACAGAGCAGCAGCTTTCCTTTCTGCCCTCATAGCTGCAAATCTACACAGAGCGCTGTTGATGCCATTGTGCTTTTTTGCCTTCGACCCAAACTTACTGGAAAAGGCAAAGTTTAAATCCCATCTGGCTCGTGTATGTCAGAAACACATCAAAGTGTTTAAACATTAGGCCAATTGGCAAAAGAGCAGGTCATGTTTTGTGGCTGTTCCAAATAATTCAACTAGGTAAAACAACCCAACTGAATGTGTTTTTAACAACCTCTAGAAGAGGTTGAAAGTGCTTGCTTCCATTTAGACCAGTGGTTCTCAAACATTTTTCATCAAGTACCACCTCGGAAAAAAATTGTCTTTGCAAGTACCACCATAATGAGCAGTTTTGAAATACAGTAGCATATTAGGTCTAGTAAAGCAGCTTAAGCTCTGTACAGTTTAAAAAAGAAATAACTCCTGGTGTGTTAGCACCTGGAAATGTTGCCTAGACCTCATAAATATAGGCTTTATGTCATCATATTCGTATATAAATCATTTTTGATAATTTCTTTAAATATATGTAGCATGTACATATTACATATTTGATTCATCCGCGTACCACTTGAAGGAAGCCTGCGTACCACTAGTGGTACACGTACCACAGTTTGAGAACCACTGATTTACACAATTGAATTTAACATTTTCTGCTAGTTGTTGTATCAAAAAAGCTGCACACCAGGTGTAAATAGGATCTTTCTGCCAATGAAATTGGACACACAAAAACAACTACTGCCAAGTTGTAATGAATGAATGTGAAAACAGCTTGCCATACTACTACTCCTATTCTCTCGCTGTGTAGTATAATTCAAATGAGTTGTAGACCCACGCACAAACTATCAGACATTAAACTGACTATGGCTACAATGTGACAGACTGCATCCTTTGGACACTGTAGCACAGAAACAGGTTACAATATCCAAAGCCGGAGATGCACGTGGGTCGCATAGCAGAAGGGACGCGATGTGATGCGATTTGGGAAGTGCTGCAGCCATCACAGAGGGAGTTACGACAATATTTGTGAACGGAAGAGGGCAGCCACATGGATCGTGCGGGACGAAAACTACTCCCCGTGTAGATCCTATCTGAGGGGGGCTTCAATCAGTCGGTCAGGGCGAACTTGACCAACAAATCTGAAGAGCCTCCGCTTCACTTTCAAAGCTCAGCTTCGCTTCTGACAGATAGCCTAGGTTAGGTTGGTCGGAGCGCAAACGCTGCGGCTACAGGTTGGTCCCGCATCGGTCCCGTGGCTATCCCGTTACCTAGCGACTTCACTAAAGTTGAGCACTTTGTCAGCGCATTCCCAACAAAATCCAACAGGGCAAGCATAAAAGCACCTCTGATATCTGCTCCAGCGCAAAGGCGGCATCGCAATAGCTCGGCCGCTGCAAATACTCCAAATCCGCCGCGGCGGTCCGATAGTTGCCCCTATTTCTCCGCGTTACCCTCGGCCGATCGGGGTCTCTGTTTTCCTGCTCGGAGGAGACATTAACAGCCGAGGCCATGTTGCAAGGTCTGCGCCGAGCGTCTCGGTATCCGCGCTAGTGTATTTCCCCGCGAGCGTTTAGTGATATCCGAAGAAAACCAAGTTTGTCTCTCGTTGATCCCAGATCCGCGAAGCACTTCATACTCCTGTTTGAGACGGCGAGTCAGAGTCTGCGCCTTCCATTGCAACATTTCGCGAATCTGGAGGTCTCCAACAATTGCCCACTTTCACGGCGTCCGCTGGAAAGTTCGCGCGATCAGTGGATGCTCTGCAAACGTCGATCCCTCGGTGGCTGAAGCATTTCTGTGATCTATGTGGTCCCTCCTCAGGCCGCGCGACAAGGCGATCTCTGGGAGATTCAATAGATGTGAAAAAAGATCACTCTCCATTCGGAGACAGAGGAGGAGGGGCGTGGCCAAAGCGCTCGAGAGCCCGCCCCCGGGGCTGTCAGATGGCCGGGGTTCCTGCGCTCTGATTGGTTCCAGAAGGGCAAAAATTACTCAGCAAACACGACTATTATTAGCTGCTTAGCAACAGCTCACCAAAGTAGAGAGACCACCCAAGCCGAGAGCCCTCGTGTGTGCATCTCAAACTTCAGGGGAGTCTTAAAGAAGCAAAGCCCACTTTCTGCAGGGTCCGACCGAGGCGCGCGGGCCAACAAGAGCAAGAGCGCAGTCCGACTCCGAGCGCGCGGAGGAAGCGGAGAGAGCAAAGAAGAGGAGAGTTTACTCCTGGAGACAGGACAGACACAGCTTTCTTTCTTTCTTTCTTTCTTTCTTTCTTTCTTTCTTTCTTTCTTTCTTTCTTTCTTTCTTTCTTTCTTTCTTTCTTATTGTTTGTTACAAGATATATTACATATATTTATCTTATATTTATTTATATTATAAAGGCTACTATTATTCTAAATTAATGTTCAGGCTTTTTTTATATATTACATTTATTATATTTATTTTAAATTTATATATTAAACTTTTCAAAATTTGTATAAATAAATTATAAATATTTGACATATTTATATTATATACATATACATAAGCTTCATTAGTTAAATTACTTATTAACGTGAACTAATAATGAACCATACGTGTGCATATATTTATCATAGTTTAACATTTACTAAGGCATCAACATCCAAATTCATGCTGTGTGCAGTGAACAATAAACAACTTTATTTTTATTAACTAATGTTAACAAAGGTAAAAAAAAATAATAATAATACTGTAATATATGTATTATCCATTGTTATGTTAATGAACACATCAACTAACACAACATTGTTTTAAACTGTTACCATTAGTTCTTAGAAGTCAGATGAGGGACAATTTCTAATCTGTTCTTGACACACTGACATACTGTAGGAAGAGCCAGGACACTATTAACATTATTTATTAAATACTACAGTGGCACCAATATGCATTAATTCACGCTTAATTACTGCACAGATAATCATGAGGTAATTATGACTCAGGAACAATAAATAATTTATTAATACGGCATCAGCAACATGAACATTCTATATTATATTAAGTAATTGATTAATTGTTATTAGTAAAATCTGCCATAATGTGTAAAACCGGAACGAATCGCCAACTTATCCATATGTTTTACGCAGTGCATGCCCTTCCAGCTGCAACCCATCACTGGGAAACACCCATACACTCCCATTCACTCACATACACTACAGACAATTTAGCCTACCCAGTTCACCTACACTGTTAACCCTTACTGTAGATTATGCAGTAAATGACTGTAAAATAGCCAGTGTTTTGCTGTAATAAAAGGAAACAGTATTTTACTGTAAAAGGAGCAGGATTTGTATGAAATTGTGTAGTGCAAAGAATAAATTACAGTAATTTACTTTATGTACTCATTACAGTAACTTTGACAATAAATAGCAAATTACTGTTCAACCATTACTGTCCCATACTCTGACGGTTTATGTTGCTATTTATAGAGACGTGCATTTTAAAGGCAGAAAATATTGATTTAGGCATCACCACACACTCCCACAGGCTGTCCGTCTTATTCTAAACACAAAGGTGTTAGAAAGAGTTTTCAGAAAATGCTGGCCCTTTAAGGGAGCCAGGTGTTTGATTTGTTTACTGCTGAGTGTGCTCTATTCTCTGTCCATCAATTCAGATGTAGAGTCTGATATGTTTTAGGCTTTAAATAAGAATCTACAATGAGTAAGTAAAATGTGTTCAAATGTTTTTGAGGGTTTTAAGGGTATGAGGGTATGTTTTTAAGGCTGTGTTTTAAGCTATATTGTTGTTATCTTGAACTGTGTACTTGAAAGCTACATTGTTAGCTAGTTAGCCTCTCCTCATATAACTTCTTACATTACTTTTGTTTAAGTATATGTATTTATTGGATATTTTCATGTATCTTTCTGGCAACTAAGCCAAAATTAAATTCCATCATCTCAGTAAGGTAACATGTGCACATCATCACAGGGAATCACAAAAACATGATACACATAGCCATCCACACACAAAAGCTCCACTTTCAGGTCCCAGGTTGTGAGTTTGTTGCTAAGTATTTTTTAGAGCTGTGTTTCCACCTATGAATGTATATGAGAAAACAATAGAAAAGGTTGTGGTCATGAGATTTTTTAAGTAAATAATAATTATAAATAAAAGTTTGGATCCTTTGGTTTTTCGGTGTTGCTCACTTTATCTTTGTTTTTTTATAATTATTTGAAACTTTTTATTGAGAGTTGACACAGTTTTAAATTATTTAAAACTTTAACATTTAAAATAATTATTTTGTGTTTTTTGCCGTTCAGTTTTTTTTAGTTTTTTTTTTTTTGTTTTGCATGGTCAGCATTGAGGAGAGAGTAACACATTTCACTGCAGCACTTTGTGTGTGTGTGTGTGTGTGTGTGTGTGGTTATTGGATATGTGATTGTGATAAATGTTGGCAGTTGCTTTAAAAGTATATAATATACCATGGGGGGCAAACTCCAAGTTCCTGGAGAAACGCAGCGCAGCAGAGTTTAGCTCCCACCCTCCTTCAACATAACCTGTAGATTTCTAACACTGTTGCCAGTTACTTACTGTAACCAAACTTTTACAGTGAGTAGCTGGCAACAGTGTTGCCAGTATTTTACTGTAAAAAAACCTGGTAAGGTCTAACAGTGTATAGTGCATGTCTTTGGACTTTTAGGGGAAACCTGAGAACCCGGAGAAAACCCACACGAACACGGGGAGAACATGCAAACTCCACACAGAAATGCCAACTGACCAAGCCGAGGCTGGAACCGGTGACCTTCTTGCTGTGAGGCGACAGCACTACCCACTGTGCCACTGCTCCGCCCACATCTGAACTCTTCATATATTAGAATGCAAAGGTTTCATTATTCTGTTTATTTACTTGTCAAGAAGTTCAAAATCCAAAACCACAATGAAATACCAAACAATTTGTTAGTCTTGTGCCTCAGAAGGTTGTCATAATACACATTACGATACCTTCACAAATGATGAAGATTCATACATTAAGAGTCATACATTTTCATCATAATTTAATATCACATGTTATATCGGAAGTACTATATGACTAATAGATTCATTTCGTAATCTATGAATCTTATAAAATGTTTGTTTAGTGCTAATGCAGTAATCATTAATAAGTAGTGTTCATGTACACAGTTACCAATTTTCTGTAGAATGTACCATAACTTACTGTTCACCTGAAATTATTTACCACAAAAATACCGTATTTACATTTACAGCACCATTTATCTTGTTGTAATCTATTTATAGTATTACTTCAAAATATACAGTAATTTTCATAACACAACTTTAAAACACAGTAGCATACAGCATAACTGTCCTACAGTAAAATGCTGTTCATATTACAGTTTAATACTGTGTAAAACATGGTTAACTATGTATTTTAAAGTGTTACTATTTCACATACAATGTATTTTTCTTTTTGTTTTAATTTGTTTCTCTACACATTATTTTCTTAGACACTTCTTGATTGTGCTTCTTTTTGTTCTTGCTCTTAATTTGCACAACGGACATTCAGAACTTTATTCAGTGTTTGTGCAAGAACGTATACATAAATATGTAGACAGTTAATTTTTAGTTATGATTCAATGGTATTTCAATGTATTTATATTAATATTTAAGATTTTAAAATATTTTAAAGTCTTGAGCGCCACCTAGATTGTGTAAGTTTTGTGGATGGCTTAAAGTTTTAGATTATATACAGTTGAAGTCAGAATTATTAGCCTCCCTTTGATTTTTTTTTTCTTTTAAAAATCTTTCCCAAATGATGTTTAACAGAGCAAGGCAATTTTCACGGTATGTCTGATAATATTTTTTTCTTCTGGAGAAACTCTTATTTGTTTTATTGCGGCTAGAATGAAAGCAGTTTTTAATTTTTTTGAAAAGTCAAAATTATTAGCACCTTTAAGCTATATTTTTATTCTATAGTCTACAGAGCAAATGTAAAAGTGGAGCTTATAATTCTGACTTCAATTGTACTTAAATTGTAAAGAAATAAAAACATTCTGACCTGCACTTATTAAAATATAGAAAACAATAAGTTATCACATTATATGTGATTAATAATTAAAAAACTTGTAGCATTGTGGAAAGGTGTATCATTTAAAATGACAATCAATGTTGTTTTGCTACAAACTGGGATCCAGTCTTTTAATATGGCATCAAATGATTCCTGTTTTAAAAATGCCAACATACAGTATGAATTGTAAATCACGAAAGATGCCATACACAGAAACAAAATGCATGGGACAGATAGAAAAGAGTAACATTTAAAGCTCTATTAAATTTTATTGTTTCAATCCTAGAAAAACAAACGTATACAGGCCTGTTAATGTGCATTATTAGTGCAATTTCTAAAAATACAGCTAAAGTGCTGAGCATATATGAGTACACCCCCACAAATATCTCATTTAAAGTAATATTTTCTATAGAAAGCTTTACATTATTATATTGTGCATATACATTAGTTTAGTCTGTACTGAAGCCAAATCTGGAGCTTATCTAACAAAATAACTTACAATAATAGTTGTAAAATTAGTAAGCCTGTCGGTGCTTTAACCACTAGACTATTGCGCCAACAGGCTTACTAATTTTACAACTATTATTTTAAGTTATTTTGTTAGATAAGCTCCAGATTTTGGCATGTCAGGGCGTCCTGAGTTTGAATCCCAGCGCGAGAACAATTCCCAATCCCTCTCTCCAACTTCACTTGCTTCTTGTCTCAATACTGTCCTAATATGGCCCAAAAACATATCTTTAAAAAAATGACAAATGTATATGTTAGGGAAAATATTAAACAACATTTTAAAAAATAGCAAAAATCAAGAGAAACAAAAATAATTTTGTTCAAATTTTGTCATTTGAATTTTTTTTGCAATATTTTGCATGAATTTAAAT